GGGATAGCTTAATATAGAGATAGGTTTGTACTTGTACCCTGTTCCACCAACTGTAAGTATGTGAGTGTTGTTAGTTTTTCTTTTTGAACTCATTTTAAGCCAGTTTTATCACACAGTAAGTAAAGTGATGTTTTTAGGACAATTATCAAAACTTATGATCCAAAGGCTACTTATATCTTAAGACTAACCGCCGCAAAGCTTTAAAGAATTTCAAAGAAGCAAACAATAGGTGACATATGTATTGTTTATGTTAACAATTTAACTGGTGAACGTGCAAGCAATAAATACCGAAACCTTTTGTTTTGCACACTCTTTCAAAATGACTCATTGATAAACAATTTTACATGTTATAGAGGTTGTGTAAACATTTCTTTAAGTTACTGAGGGCCAATACAGAGATTACTTATTTAAGTTATAAAGGTTGCGTAATTTAAGTTATAGAGGTTTTGGGGCTCTGATGGGAAGAAACATATTATTTTTGAAGTTATAGGGTTTTAAGTTACCGGGTTTTAGTTATCGAGGTTCTACTGTATATATAAAGATGAAGCTTTTCGCCTGTGCGATCAGATAGTATGTCAAACCGTTGGTCCCAGATTGACGACATATTTTGGTTAGCATGATATAACTGCCTTTAACATTCAGAAAACTTGCACACAAGTTATTTAATGGAATTCAAAATCAAATGGAAATAACCTTTAATGGGTAAATTTTACAATTTCCTTCTCTTTCTTTGAATTTCATACCTCCAAATAAAAAAAGAATGGAAGGCTTAACAAATCGCTCTGTCTCTGTTTGTCTTACACTCTATCATGGCCAATTTGCTCCAAATGTATTGGACTAATTATCTAATTTACTCCAAATGTATTGGACTAATTATTAAGTTTTCTGGAATGTTAAAGGCAGTTATATCATGCTAACCAAAATATGTCGTTGTCACTAAGTTGTGACAAGTAAAATCTGGGACCCGATGTCTTAACATACTGTCTGAAGTACCAGGCGAGTAGCTTCTTTATATATATACTTACACTACTTGATTTTTAACATGTATTATTTTGTATTTCAAGCAAGCGATTCTTGTACATATTGTATGTATGTGGTTTACCAGAAGTGACTAATGTCTTAGATGAAATGTAGTACTTTAATAAGTTTTGTTTTCAAAGTTTATGTATATATAAATATTTATTATTGGTGATGAACATAAGCAATTTTTCTCACAGGAAGTTATTATATTCTCACAGTAAATGTGTAAGATGTAGAGTGAAGCTCGGCTGCCCAAGTATTTAATATAATAGATTATAAACATAAACACTTTAAGACTTTATTTTCATGATTTTTATTTGATGTGACTTTTTGAAAAAAGATTTTCCTCTTTATTTGATAATATTATATTTTTATTTTCCTATCATATTTCCAGTATTAAAGAGCGACTTTTGTGAGATAGGGATTTTTAATTGTTTACTTAATTTCTTTGTTTAGTGCATAGTTTTAAGAATCAATTACCTCCCAAAAGTCATAGTTAGAAGTGTATTTCAGGACTCAAAACATATAGGAACATTTTACATCATCCATTTCTGTAAATGTTTCCTTCATTCTTACCTCCATATGCACATGCAAATGTCATTAATTTACTTTGGTTTTAAGATTAACCATTGTCAACAATTATTTTTCTTAACATCAATAGTTATAAATTTATTTTGACTATGGTTGTCGTATTTACTAAAATTATTAAAATCTAATCTAATTTGATAATAGCTTAACTTTCATTGTAGTCAATGTTTTGAATCACATTGAATTTTACATTTCTCTGCGATACCTATTGTTATTCTCAGAGCTTGTGGTGTGTGATGAACTGAAAATGAAGGAGAAAGAGATGTTAGGAGGGTGCTGTGTTTGCTCCGATGAGCGAGGCTGGCCGGACAACCCATTGGTCTACTGTGATGGCAATGGTTGCTCTGTCGCCGTACATCAAGGTCTGTTTTAGTATAAACCATTTATTTGTAAATTAGTTATTATATCATGGATTATAATAGATAAAAAGGTCATTTTGGGCTGACTTTATGCAGACCTCACTGATTTTAGATTTCGTTAATTTTGAATGGTTTTAATTAAACCTTTATATTAGTGCAATATAAAAAATTATTAGTTTGTGGGTGGTTCATGTATTGTAATCAGATTTTGTGTATGCTCTTTGATGGTAGCGTTATAAGTGATCACTTCCATTTTTAAGATAAAAATTGAGAATCTGTAAGAATTACTTTATAATTAAAATTAATTTTATAACATTCAATATATTTTCATAATCCTCAATTATAGATTTAGATAATACATCTAATGAGACATCTTAATATAATTATATAAAACTACATTGGCAAATTCTATTTTCACAGCTTGCTATGGAATAGTAACCGTACCAACAGGACCATGGTATTGTCGCAAATGTGAGAGTCCAGATATTAAAGGTCGTGTGGTATGTATTTATTTTATATTTAGTGTAGGCCACTATTATTTTTACTGGAATCTTTTCAGTATGTACGTTATTACAAAGTATGTGTTTTATAACAAGTTCATCACATCTAAAAAGATATTTGAAATCCATTTTCTTTTAGATTACATATTCTAAATTATTTTAATTTATAAAAATTATGTGAAATCAATTTTCAGAGCAAAAGATTTAAAATGGAAATTGATAAAGAGCCATTTTTATATATAGAGTAAATGAATACTGAAAATAAAATAAGTATGTGTCTCATTTCTTATGTGCAACACAAATAATAATTCCACACATAATAAAGTCTTTATGGAAACTTTTTTTTCATATTAAAAAGGTTATTTGCATAAAAATTAAGATCAAATCATTCTCATCTATGAAATGTGAAATGCATCCCTGTGATAAATATATCACAGGATGCATTTCATATTTCACAATCAAATAACAATTCTCTCTAAAGCGATTAAAACACAAATGAAGTAGTAGTATAAATAATAGTATAAATGCACAAATAGTAGTGTAAATGCATTATAGATAATATGATACGAGATGTACCAAAAAATAGGTATATTTAGAAATAAAAAAATATGATATAGTCCATCACAACATTTCAATCGGGATCGAAAGTGGAGTCAGGACTGAAATCTGAAGAAGAAGAACATCGGAATCATGGTCGACAATGTGATCGGTGAACATATAAGATTAAAGCATTCATTTGAAATCCATATGGGCAGAGCTGCAGGAAAAGCTAGTGTAGTATAATGTGAAAGGAGATACATTATGGAAAGAATTAGACCAAAAATCTGACACATCTCATGTTTTTTCAAATATTATTTATTAGTGTCAAATTTATGTATATTATGTACTTAAATTATTGCGGAATGATTTTTATATGCTTTCAAAAATTTTTCAACAGCGGTGTGAACTGTGTCCTTCAAAGTCAGGCGCACTAAAACGTTCTGATACTGGTGGCTGGGCTCACGTCGTTTGCGCTCTCTACATCCCTGAAGTACGATTTGGAAATGTTACGTCTATGGAGCCAATTGTACTACGTTTAATTCCGCCTGAGAGATATAACAAGGTAAATTGATGTGTATTTTATGAGTCAAGTATTTATTGTTTAGAAGTAATAATCAGTCTTCTAATTTATGTTAAAACATATGAAAAAAACCAGCTAAATGCAAGTTGAATTCACACACTGATTAATAGCCATAAATATGGAGAAAAGTGTATCATATACATACAAAAATAGTTAAAATTAATTGTGGAAACTGCAGCAATTACATATTAATACATATGACATAATCTTTGATTATGGCATTCTAGCGAACAAAGGTGTAGTGGTCCTCTGGGAGAAAAGTTTGGAGACTCCAGATGCGTCAGAGAGTTTTTGGATTTTGTACTTAAGCTATCCTGGCTTATTACTATTTATTGTGATATGGGACTTCATACGTTTCGTCGTCTCGTGTAATGGTTATGAACAGCGCCATCTGCTACCTCGAGAACATCATGAATGACATAGCTATTGAAAAGTGTGATTTATGAAGAACGTCATGTAACATGGTGGGTACGCTACAGCGTTACTGAGCATCAAGCATTAATTTGATTGATCAATATATTATTGAATTATTTTTATTACATACCATATTAATCAAATTTTTATAACCTTGCCTAAATTACTTGCTTCGTAGCAAAGCATATTTTTAGCTAGTCATTGCTATGCAGGTTATGATATTGCATTAGATTGTATCTAGGTGTCCTTCTTTATTTGGCTTTTTGGCAATTCTATATTTTTATTTTACAATGGAATTGAAACCGTTAAAATCTGTGAAAACATCAAATGGCTCCTCTATAAAAAATAAAGGACATTGAAAGTCAGACAGATGATGGACATTGTGATCCTAGTAACAGTATCCAGATATGTTCCCTTCGGCTGTCGTAAAATTTTTTATACTATTAAGTTGTGAGCATATAGAATATGTAAATGTATAAATAGTTAAACAAAACTCATCAGGTGTCTTGAGGGCAGCCAGTTGGAATAAAGTTCTTTTCTCTATATGTAAATGTATTTTATGATTGAATAGTAAACATGTTTTATTAATTATTACAATTCAAAAAAAGGAATAAACAGCACCATTTATTTTGTTTATTAAAAACTTTGTTAAGTTCATCAATTTACACAATTATGTAAATATAAAATCAATAATAGATGTCACTTTCACATATTTGTATAAGTATTTATTTATTGAGAGTTTAAAATTTAATAATCTCCAGAACTGAAACAATCCAAATTTCATTTAGTATTTTAGGGAAAATAATGAAAATTATAAATTATGTACAAGCACAATGAAATATATTAACTGCCATCGAAAGTAATGAAACAAAAAATATAGCAAAAGAATAAAGGAATGGTAATAAAATATTGCAATTAAAAATATTATTAACAGTCTATTGTAAATAATATTTTATTATATAATACCGTAAAATAATGTAACACCAAAAAGGTCAACATCACACGGTGTACCCCAGGCAGTCACTCATCCAAGTACTGATTGTGCCCAACTCTTGCTTAACTTCCGTGATTGGATGAGAACCAGGTGTATTCAGCGTGGTAAGGACGTTGACAAATAATTTTATAAAAATGTTAACTAAAGCAACAGCGGTCAACATTTTTCCTCATGGTTACACTTTTTTTAGTATTTCGTGTAGCTCCCATCTTCCGAGTACTTGAGCGTAATATGTGATAGGAAATTTCATTTCAAAATGTTATTTACATATTAATGCATACATATTGGTGGGATAATAATGTCATTTAAGAAAAATGTAATATTGAAATTCTAACATAAGACAAAAACGTAACAAACTGTTATATGACATATCTAATATTTGTTCCTACAATGTTTTAACCACCACCTTAAAACATCATAAGAACAAACATTGCTATAACAATTTTTTTTTATATAATAAAACCCATAAATTCATCTCTTTTAAGAATGAATTTGGCCATTTTATCAGTAGACATGGAGAATAAAAAAAACAATTATTATTATCCGGATAAAGCATACATGACACTATGATGTTAATTTTACATACAACTGAAAGATACCAATAGATCGTTATTCATTGAATTTGGGTCTAGAAGACGAGAACCGGTGCATTATTTAACAGTAGTTAGATACTGCATTATAGTAGCATATATTTAGAACTGATAATGGCGATCTATATGCATTAAAACCTATATTAGTTTCACTCTCGCATATATAAATAAGTAAACAGCAGCGATACAGCAACGAAGTAATTGACACGGATCATATAAAATGATACATGCAAGATTTAAATGCTCGATAAAATTGTTTACATCGCTCATAAACAACTTCCTACTTATCCATTAATGATTCCTTTCCTAATGCAAAAAAAATCTTTTTGGACTTACAATCTATAGCACCTACTTGCATTGTTGTTGTGAAAAGTGTATTGTCTTATCTACTTTCTAATTGTCAATGAACTAATCTGATTTCCACAAATTTTGGCCAATACCTTCAATGGAAATTGTTTAGTTTAGAACTTTCAATAAAGAAAGTTAAAAAAACTGTTACTCGGGAGAGGTATTATTTCTATTTTCAAAAAGAAATTAAACCTAAAAGGTTTTCATTACATGCTACAACAAAATTGGAAAAGGTAACATTATTAGAAGCATAAGTCCTTAGTATTATAATTTCATTTAACTTTCTTATTTCGAATTTTAAACCACCAATCCTCATAATTAAATATGACATGATTAGTATGAAATATTTAATTTGTAAATGGCAATTATGTATTTTTTAATAATCATAGTATTAGCTAATTTTTTTCACTAGTTGTGACATTACAACAAAACATTATGCTGATAGTATATATGTCGGCAAGATTAAATAATTTTAATTAATTTATTTAAAAGTATGGTATAAGATGTAGAACAGTACAATACAGAAGTATAGTATAAGATGTGTCCTTACGTACATTTATATTTTGAAATGTTATGCAACTTCGCACTTGGCTGGTTTTAATAAGTTTGTTTTAACGTTGATGTATTATAAATTATTATCAAGATCATTTTGATAGAAGGGCTTATGATTTTTGTGCTTAATGAAATCTCATATTTCAGGTCTGCTATATTTGCCAGGATTTGGGTAAAACACACAGAGCAACAGCTGGTGCCTGCATGCAGTGCAATAAAACTGGTAAGTCATACTCAAAACTCTATGTATAATGCACAATTTCATTGACAATCTGGAGTTGTAACATTAGGTATATTGACATAAGACTTTTTGAATTCCTAGTTTATTAATATCGCTAAATATAATTATAAATTATAATTAAAGTGAATACAAATTTCTTTAACATAAAGCTTAAACTAATTAAATGCAATGAAAACTACAAATATCAGAACCAGTACTGTTAGTTAAACAATATGACTCTCATTTATATGGGCAATGTTATTTTCTCAAGATTTCTGACAAATGTGAAATAATAATGCAAAAAGTACTCAAATATATTTTTCACGAATGTCTGTGAATAAAATCTTGAACTCTGTCATTGAAATCATTTTTACACCTTGTTATGTCTTGAAAGTCATAGTTGGAATTTAAGTTTCATTTACAACTATACAATAAAAAAATTTTGATTATTATCTTTTTGACACATAATGCTTGATAATCAATCAACTGCCAAGTTTACTTATTGTAAATCTATATATTTATGATTCTATATGAACCGGTAGGTTTTGTCTGTACATACAACTTTTTTATCAAATTTTATGATAAATATCCATTTTATGACTCACTGAACCCATTTTAGCATTTTTAAATTTTAATTTGTATATCCTTTTATAAATAAAGAATAGTGTAATCAATAATCAATTGATAAAAACTCTTTTGTTTTAAGTTTTGTGTAAATGTGATATAAAATGCTTTAACAGTTATGTAAATCATAATGTATTGTTTACAAAAACCAAGTCTGACAAACTTGGCAAGACTCAATTTTTTTGGTATATATATATTGATAGATAATGGTATCAAATAATAGGAATTAGAATTTTGATGTGCGACTGAAAATTAATAAGAAAAACATGATAATATTTGACTGAAAATGAATGGTCGCTGGCTTCTAAAGTCATATACAATATTATAAAATTAAATTCCTATTGTAGCTTCACAATTTACTATCAGGTTTTTCTTTATTTATTAACTTGTTTTTTCTTTCTTTCGAGGCTAGGATGTAGTGTTTTTTTAATTCATTTTTTTTAATTTTTGCTTTTTTTATAAGTATAATAAAATTAGCCTGCCAGATACAAATCATTTGGTCTTGTTGCTTAAGGACTTTCTTACTATAAGATTTCTACTATATGAGAATATTAAAAATACTCGTAAAACTTCATAGTAAATTTTGGTCTATTAGGAAAACGCTTCTTCTTCGATAAAGTTTAGAAAAAAACTTGACCATCACGGAACGACCGAAAAATGTGAAACACTTAAGTTAATATTACAATTTATAATTAATAAATACCAATAAAGTAAATATGTAGCATAATAATAATAAAAGAATAAAGTTTGTTAATAAAATCAATATATTTTTCTTATTATTTTAAATATAATAATATGTAATTAGAGAATATTTATATGTATGAATAGAAAATTATTTTGATGTAATAATATATCACTGATTCGAATTCTTTTAGGAATTCTGTCAATTAGTAAAAAAAATAAATAATTTCAAGACAATGTTATTAATTTATATAATCATAAATTGTAATAGGGTGACTTCACAGTAAATAAAACAAGGAGAATAAATTCTTTTAAATGATATGTCAAATAAATCAATAAAATCAATTAAACAATGAATTAAAGTCAAACCTTAATAAATAATAAGAACACAAAAAAAAGGATAATTTAAGTAATAAAACAAATATTTATTTAAAAACATAATTAATTTATTCATAATAAAGTACATAAACATTTTTAAATATATCTGTGTATATATTCAATTCCTTTTGCTTTCTCATTCGCGCGTCTCTCCTGTATAGCATATTTATGTGTTAATGTATGTCTATATAGCTTGTGTAACATTACGTTTCGAAATCTCCACCCATCAGCCACTCAAACTCGTCACGCTGACATACATAGGTATAGATGATTAAAAAATATCTTGTATTTTTTCTACCAAACTGATAAACTTAAAATTACTGCTTAAAAATACACATATAACCTCATAATAAGTTTAAACCTATTTCAGACACTCAATAAAATAGACAAAATATTGCATAATTTAGCCTGCGAATCTTTTAAGACAATTAGTAATATATTTGTTGTCATCATTATCATGTTTACAAGCTTTGGTTTAACTTCTATATTGATACACAAATGTGTTACAATATTAATATTATTGTTTGTTAGCTGTCTTGTAATTTAATAACAAATAAAGCTAAAAATGCGTATATTTCTTTTAGGATGTAAACAGCAATTCCATGTTACGTGTGCCCAGAGTCTGGGTCTCCTATGTGAAGAAGCTGGCAATTATTTGGACAATGTGAAATATTGCGGTTATTGTCAACATCATTATAGCAAATTGGTTAGTTGATAGTCTTTTTTTCATTTTGTAATGATATTCTTGTTTAACTGTTCCTCATTTACATGAAAATACACATATAATGTGCAATATATGTATTGACCTTATGTTTGTCTCTGTGCATATGTACGTTCATGCGTGACTATAATGAAGATAGTTGTTTGTTATTTGTTATATTGTATCTCTATATTTTCATACTACTATCACATATATTTTGTGCCTTTTTTCATCAAATCCACCTCCTTAAAACTAATAAAAAATCAATTGTATATTTAGACAATAATGATCAACTTTACTTTTTTTCTATCTATAGTTTATGATATATGCTATCATGTCCTAGTAAAACACTCATACATTAATCAATAACAATTGAGCGGCCCTTATTTCTTTGGCATAGACATATAACATTAATGACATAATTTTTTCATTTTGCACAGACTGTGCGAGATTGTTCCATGTTAGTACATAATCGGAATCCATCTAAGACATGACAGAGTATGTCAGTGAAAGTTGTATGAGAAAACTTTTCATCTTCTCAAGTTATTTATTAGGTGATAGAGTGACAGACCGATTATTCCTTGATAAAAATTTGGAATTAATCCTTAATTTTGGAAGAGGAAGAATGAAAAAGAAGATCATTGATCATATATTAGTGATAGGCATTGAAAACAGTCTTATTTTAAATAAAATCATATTTTCGTGAGAGAAATTCGTGTTTGAAATAAAAAAAATATCCATCTTTAGTGGGGATTGTGTAATCCAACTTTAGACTTTGCACAAATTTTACACTTTTTTATGTAAATTTAAATGGTCGGTTATAGAAGTACAAAAGTGAAGATGTTGATTCTAGTACAAAAATTTTATGTAAAAATTTATTTTCATCATGACCTAACCTTTGCTTTTAAATGTACTCAAAATCTCGTTTAGGTCTTTCTCCACTCCATGGATGGAGAAGTTTTAAAGTTATTTAATGCTCGATGGGTCACTTCGATCGTTTGTTCACTAACTTCTGTATTAT